GTAATCAGTAAATTACAGGCAACCAATTCGCGATATATTCCACATAAAGTTGATCGATGTTACAAAACCATTCGTAGACCTTACTGACTACCATAACCATTACCATTAAAGTTCTCAAACCATAAGTTAAAAGGTTCTAATATAGTTCTCTTTCCGAAAATGTATGGAGAAAACAAGAATTTGGAACGGTAATGGTTCTTAACAACCCATTATTTGTAAGGTCCAGTTCTAAAAAACCATAATACATAAGGTTGAAACTTTATCATTAAACGTTCATGTAAAGTTCCATAACCATTTCAGTTAAAGTTTAGCAGGGATTATAAACAATTTTTAACCATTTTAGGTAAGGTCAATTTATGGTTCGCGTTTATGCGGGCCAAGCAGTCCCAAGCTATTTCACTCACCCCTGCATGTTCTGCATGAATCCACACACCCCTGATGTTATCTGTCAAACTTTCATAGCGAATCAAAACAAACATAGTGTAGTAATAGAATTTCAACTAGAATAGGGTACGTTAATCGTTTGCTTGGGACCAATAGGCTACTAAAGTGGTGAGCCAATTTAAAATCGTTAGTTTCGTATTGATTGTTGGTAATACTACGTAGTTTGTTGACAACCCCGCAATATTGAAACACAAAAAATCGAATTGATTCACATTCCTGGAATTTGGCTGCTATTTATTGAAACGCAAGCTGCTTTTTTCTGATCAAAAAAGAGCAAACATTCAGAGCTAAATGCGGAATGATTGACATCCAAGTTTATTTTACGTTCTTTATTGGTTTTCAAGCAATTAAGACATTTCAATACAGTTGACGCACACTCCGACGTTTTGTGTTGTTGGCTGCACCTAGAGCATTTCTCACAATTTTTGCAATCCATGCTCTTGTGCCCAAATTCTCCACATTTGAAGCATCTGCAAAAACACATAGGCCCTTTTGAAAAATTACTCTTAAGTCAAAAGGGTCTCCTCTCCTGCGGAAAATACTTGGTCTATCATACTGAAAATAAGTGCCAAGTATCATCCAGATCGAAGATAGTCAAGTTTGGTGACTGACCGATTTGGCGTGGAATTGGTCTTGTGCGATCCTTATTGGAGTCAAGTTCAGTTGTTTGGTGCCCTTTCCATACTAGCTGGATCACTAGAATTGAATCCGTCAACGCAAGTTTGTGAGATATGCTCTTCGTTTCCTCAACTGGCGTGACCCAACGAACTTGCCACCGTACGAGGAGCGTTGCCTGGGAATCGGGCCATTAGAGGTGAGACGGACGGTCGCTCAAGCTATGTTCGTTGGAAAGCTGCTTACGGGTGACATTGACTGTCCAACACTGCTGTCACAGTTAAATATGTATGCCTCTGAGAGGTCTCTTCGTCAACGCGACTTTCTGTTTTTGGAACCATTATTTGGAGCCAATTTGAGCAATCAGCCGGCAATTCAACAACTTTTTTTTATGTTCGACTTCAATGTATCAGCTGACGTGTTTCGTCATCGGCTACTTGGCCTTTTCCGTACCGTTGGCCGTAACGATTTAGTTTAAGTTTCATTCATTTAGACAATAATTGTCAGTTGAATTTTTCAATAAACAATAAACAATAATCAATTAATTTTATTTGAATCATATGTATCATATGTAATCATATGAATTTCATCGGCCTCATAATATTCATGTGATTTTGTGGTGGGATTCGAGGTGGGATTTGCTGCTATGTGATCACAGGAAAGCTATGTGAAATCAACATGGATTTCATCCATTAGATATGTGATCAATTGTTGGAGTGTATACAAGGTTTGAGCCAAAGGACTTATTGGTGTTAGTTTTTTGTTTGTTTATTAATTTATTTGATAAGGCTCAACCGAATTAACTTTACAGAGCCGAGGATTCTTGGTCACTATACAATACATCTTAAAACTATGGTCAAAAGGTACAACACAATAAACACTTTATCTTCCGCTATCCAAAAAGCCTCCTCGATCAGAACTGGAGCCGCTTCTAGTAGTTTCATTGTATGGCAAATTGTTGTACGCCAACGAGGGTCAGAGCGCGTCCATTGCAGCAATGGACGCAAAACGTGGTCAGTACTCACACACTCATCACGAAACGGTTGATTTCCAAAGTCGACGACGCATCGCCCGAAAGAACTGCTGATGAAGAACAATGAGGAGGACCACACAATGGTTGCTGCCGAGAAAACAGACGATCGCGTAGCACACATCGAGAGTGGCCTGCTTTTGTCGACAGCCGAGTGAACACTGTATTGGTGTTAGTGAAATGTGCAAATGTTTAGTGGTGTTCATATTTCATTGCAATACTTATTTTTTTACACGAAACAGCCGATGGCAGTGATGTATGTAATGTTGGCTAGAGTGACGTCGTTACTTGAGTGCTGAGCAATGTTTACAATATTTTTGCTTCTAATACCAGCAAGCTGCCTTTTGGCCTAGAACTTATATAAACGTTATTGGTAGTAGATACCAACTATACTGTCCACACCTAAGAGGAGATAATACGGGGGCGAAAACAAACCACTTTTCGGTCAAATGCGAACCAGCTCGTGATAGGCCGATTTGAAGTGCGTAAGATAGGATTAGATAGAGATTTAAAGGGTAAGAAGCCAGTTGTCTCCTCTTCCTCTTCCCACGAGCACGCCAGTATGCTGGCATAAGAGACAAAAGTCTCTAACACTAACGCAAATCCCACCAGAGCACACCATACGGTGTTTCGCGAAAACCCAATTTCCGCTAAAAGTACCCCTCCTCATTTAAGCCTGGAGAGAGTAATGTTTAAGGAAAATTCCCAAAAGTAAATTTGACAGCTATAGGGAGGTGTCTTTTGCTAAATTTTGAGATCATACAGGGGTGTCGTCTAATTTTAATCTCTTTTTTTTTTCCTTTTGTTTGTTTTTTCCGTCGATCTTGTTTTCCGTGCTGAGCACCAATGCTACCGACGTGCCAGGAAGGCAGCTCCCACACCTGGACCCTACCTATCGACCCATCAACTCATGAACCGGGGACCAACGGCTTTACTTCCCATCCGAAGGAAGGCGTGATCAGAGATGTTATGCCTCAGAACATCCCGGCGGCGCCGACTGGGATTGAACCCAGGCCTACTGGGGTGAGAGGTAATCACGCTTACCACTACACCACCGGCGCCGTTAAATTTTAATCTCAACAATTATCAGTTTTTATGTTGTTAAATGCATCCAAAACATAATTTTTACAAAAAGCTTTAAATTTATCTAACGGAATAATTGATCAGACCAATATTCCGTAAGGAAAGTGAAATTGCATTCAGAATACGTCACCTTCATGTTGATCACGATACTAATGCAATCGATCATTCCTTCACCGATTTCTTTTGAACTGCGTACTGGGTCAAGAAATGTTAAGGAAAAGTAATTTCTTTAGCATTCCGTGTCCTGTCCCGTAGCACGTAAAAACGTCATTACTTTTCAGCTGTGTACCAGGCTTTAATGGGTAAACTATGGTTTACTCATTAATGGGTAAATCGGAGGTCTGTCAATAAATGGGTGTATTTTACCCATTTTCTTAAATTGTCTTTACCGGTAAATGGTAAAAAAAAACATTTTTTTTTCAAATGGAGGATGCAGGTGCTTGGTTATTTGTCTTCGTTGATATAAAAAATTCTAATACAACATTGAAAATAAATGCAGGTGTTCCGATCAAATTTTATTACACGAAATATTATAATACCATATTAGATAAAATTGTTTTTACTTATCCGTGAGTCTCTCCAACGTTTCGGATTCTAACCTTCTCCGGAGCTCGTCCATTTTCGCTAAAAAAAAAACTGCGGACAGTAACTGTTTGCAGTCCCTAATGGTGGTAAGCTCCAACTCGGATTAACTTTTAATACCGTCCCTGTTTGGATGATCTGCAAAGTGTTTGCTTACAGTCGTGTCAACATCAAAGCAGCCGGACATTCTTGATCGGGATTTAATCCGAGGATAATACCGGATGGAGCTTACCGCCATAAGAGTCGGTGACGGAAATGAGACGATAAAATTTCGAAGTGTTTTTCCACCCATTAGTGGGTGAAAAATAAACCCATTTTGCAATCGTTCTTTAAATGGGTATTTTTTCAGCCATTTTATGATTTCGAAATTCCCCCATTTTTTGACAGCTGCATACATGGTTTGACAATGGGTATTTTTTACCCATTAAATAATGGGTTTTCACGAAACACCGTGGCAGGCACACAAATGTACAGAGACCTGAAATCGTCGTTCTTGAGCTTTTTACTAGACACGCTCAATAAAACTCACTCACCCAACAGGTTACTCCTTAAAGTCAAAGCAATTCTCAGATCCTTATCCACCAGAAAATCCGGAGATTTGATTTGATTTGACATTTAGGCGTAATTGCATTTGTAAAAAACACGTCAATCACCGATTTCTCGCGAATAAAAGCTCAATCTAGAAAAATAATAACACTATGAGGTAGAGGAATGATTCTTCTATCATTTGATATAGTTTGTTTGTGAGATTGAGCTTTTATTCAAGAGAAATCAGTAATTGGCGTGTTTGTTTACAAAAGCAATTACGCCCAAATCTCAAATCACTCCGAAAATATCTTTTGGCCGGCACCGGTGGTGTAGTGATAAGCGTTTCTGCTTTCTCACCCCAATAGGCCTGGTTTCAATCCCAGTCGAGGTTGGTGGGATTTTTCTGAATCATAAAAATCTCTGGTCACGTCTTCCTTCGGATGGGATGTAAAGCCGTTGGTCCCGGCCCATGTGTGTTGAATGAGTGCGATATCCTACCCATGTGTGGAAGCTGCCTTCCTTGCACAGTCTATTGCCGTCAATGGTTGACAATCGATGTCACTAGATTGCGGAATAAAGACCGACGTAAAATAAAGGAAAAAAAGAAGAAGAAAATAATTTCAAAACTCATTCAACGGAAGATAAATCTACTTCTGGCCTGTGAAAATCTCGATGATTACGACAATAAAGAAGACATAATTTTAAAACGTCTGCTATTTCCAATAGTTTATTTTGGTCACAAAATATGTAAATAATTTTCAAACCATGCACCTAACTGCTTCTATACGCATACCTGGCTCATGATAATAAATAATTTCCGAAATGAAATAACGTCTCATAGAGGTATCCATGCGTATAGCTGCAGTAAAATCAATCAGCAAAAATTATCATCAATACAAGCAACTTATTTTTATCTGACACGCTTTACTTTTCGTTCAGGTCTCTTTTTATCGATAACCTGTGCTTCCTCCTCTCCCTTTTGAAGTAACCATGGTTTGATGACAGAATTCCATAAAAGCCACAATGCGCGCAGTGGCCCTAGAAGCAATAGTAACCAGAAATAGTTTGAAAATAACGATAGCAACTGAGCTCCTGTTGTAAGAATTATGGCATCCTTAACATGTCTGAAAATAGATAAACATAAAACATATGATTATTATTTTGTAGAACAAAGTGTACTGAACTGAAATCACATTCACATTATATTGAAGTATAATCAAACTGCACCCCATATCCTTTTCCTGCTACGAGTTCTGACCTTAATTTAAATTATCTCCGTAATACTACGTAATTCCGATTTAGAATGCTATGATAAACGATCTGGCGCAGCGAAATGTGAATTATTTATTTATTTATTTGTTCGCCATCTTTGGCAGAACAGCCCCTCAGACTGTTTAAAAATACTTAATTCTATTCTTCAAATCTAGTGTACTAATACTTCCATATCTCTATATTGAGAGACTTTCCATATCCCTACATCGAGACATTGAACTTCAGAACAGTAATTTATTAGCCTACTAGTACGGTTCTTCAAGCACTTCGGGTTCAAACAGTGTATTTGTTTATACGTTGAAACCGGCCTGCCCGCATAAATGGGAACCGCTACTTGACCTTACCAAAAATGGTTAAAAATTGTTTATAATCCCTGCTAAACTTAAACTGAACTGGTTATGGAACTTTACATGAACGTTTGTGTATAAAGTTTTAACCTTATATATTATGGTTTTTTGGAAGTGGACCATAAGAACCATTACCATTCAAAAAGTTGTTTTCTCCATACATTTTCGGAAAGAGAACTATATTAGAACCTTTTACTTATGGTTTGAGAACTTTAATGGTAATGGTTATGGTAGTCAGTAAGGTCCATGGATGGTTTTGTAACATCGATCAACTTTATGTGGAATATATCGCGAATTGGTTGCCTGTAAATTAAAGATTACCAATTCACGATATAGGGTTAACTACCCCATTTCCGGCCTATTAAGCACAACCCGCACTTAGTCTTTCTTAATCGAGCGCAGTTTAGCACCAAACGGAATGTTATTATTACTGATGGTTTCCAAATTTATTTACCTTTCCGTACGTACCGTAATATTTGATAAAGAGAAATCAATCGTTGAGATATTGTCAAAAGTCTAACACTGCTTCTTGACGCCAAACTCGGCCTACGGATTCTAAATTCAGCCTAACGCATTGAAACGCCATTGAAACGCCAATGAATTCACTTCGGCCTATCGGATGACGATAACAATTGATTCGGTCGGAGCGCTTCTTTTGTGTTTGTGAATTATGAGTGCAAACCTTCATTTCACGCGTTCTAATTGACTTCGTTCAGTAGCTTATTAACTAAAGTATAGTACCAAACGCATAATTGACTTGCTAACTCTTAAATCATGGATTTATTTGTAGTTTTCTGCTCGATAGGCCCAAAATGGGCGGTTAGACCGAAGTAGTTCTCTACCCTATTCCGATATAATTGTAATTGTAATTTTTAATTTATCAGCACACACCCTGGTCGACCACTGTAAACCAATCTGCCGTTAAGCGAGTGTGTACCTAGTGAAACCTGGCCGTAGGCCTATGCTAGACCGTATAGCATAACGACCTTCTTCCACTAGCAGGCCTGTTTCTGTTTGCACAGACAGTCCCACTAGTTTCCGATACATTTATAGGGGATAGTAGGAGATTAAAAGAATGGAGAAGAGTTATAGAGGTTTTTTTGTTGCTGTTTTGCTGAAAAGAGAGAAACAGAACTAAACGAAATTACACCTGCTGAAAAAGATAAGTCTTTTATTTTGGTTAGTGATCGTTTGGATTTGGGTCACCCCACGTTGTGTTTAGGTTAGTATAAATAAATAATACTATATAGTCATATAAATCACCACAGCTAAATATAAATATATATATAATAAAGTATATAATTAATAATAAGTAATGTGAGTATTATTGTATAAATTACAATACAGTGTAGTAGTTACCTCATTATCTTCAGCGCCATCGGTTTTTTTCTGGATCTTTAGTTGCCTCTGTGATATACTTACTTGCGGCATACTATTTTGGGAGTGTATATGAGCGTGTACCATGTACGGTAGCCCATCTATCATCGTGATGGTGGGACATAGTAGACAAATTAGAGAGAAAACAAGGAGGTATTAGTATTAGTTATATGTAAACAAACAAAACAAAAGAAGAGAAGAGGAAAGAAGAGCAGAAAATAAAAAGGGGATAAAGTAGATAACAAAGAATAGAAACGATTATTAGAAAAGGCATTATCCGAGACTCAGCAATCAAATGTCACTCCCGCCGAGATCTCAGCGAAACCCTCCCCGCCGAGACCCGCACAGCCGAGCTCGATAGAAAAAACTAAGTGTGTAGATAGATTAGTAGGAAAATAAATAAAACTACTTTATGACTCAAACTGCAATGAATGAGCGTTAATTTCGGGATCATTTCAGTGTTAGAGTTATGTTAGTTTTGATCCGTAATCAGCCCTGCCGGCCCCTTCAGCATTAGTTGCAGGCAGTGGTTGTTAGATCATGCGGCACTTTAACTACTACTATTTTAGAGGTATGATTCGTCAAGTTTATACAAATCAATGTTTCAATTGAGGCAAACTATCTATCTTACAATTACAAAAGCAAACTTAAACTTACAATTATATGCAAATGCAAAATGAAACTTTTAATCCCCTTATACCAGGGCAGGGCCTGACGATTTGAATCTAATTTTGATCAGTGAACAGGCACCATATGGTACATTTTCTCACCATGAACCTATCATTTCCAGCCTATCTGAACTATTTAATAAATGGAAGCCATAACATGGGTTACGCTCCCCCTAAGCGGGCCCTCCGCATCCTATCTCTGTCTTATCTCAAATACAAAATGCCAATGGTATGAATGTATCTATATATAACTTGGAAATGACGTACAATCAAATAAACCCGTAACCCACTCACTTGGCCAGGCTTCAGAATCGTCCACTGCCCGCTCTACACTCCAAGTTACCTTTTTTTCAAATTTACCGCAAATTTGATACCCATTTGTGTTGATTAATCACAATGAAACATTGTGACAGAGGTTGAGGTTACTAGTGTATTAAATAACCTAGGTCCTATTTAGGATTATATCTGAAAAATCCAAATCTGGCCAACGCCCACCCTAAACCTAAACCTGTTCTAATCCACCTGAAATGACTAACGAATGGAAGACTTTGACTACCCAGCCATGCAATAGTCTCATTCCGTGCCTTATGGCAACTTGATGATTCTATTGCGCTCATCTTCTGGCACCACCCAGGGGAGACTTGGTCCTGTACCCAATGCTTAACTTATCTCCATTCCACTCAGCTACTCGCAATTTCTTGTGATATAGGGGCGGAATATTATTATATGAGACAATTCAATGCAGACGTCTTTCCAAATTTGGCAGATCGACAGGTGAGTTACCACGATAGTTGCTATTCAACAACTCGACAACGTCCCATCGTCAACGCCTGCTATGAGAATTTCCCATTGCAGACGCCAACGAAATGACGTCATCGAGCTATCGATCAACTACCCTGGTTATCACCTGGTACCTTATAGCACGATGCTAGGAGGCGAACCGGAAGAATCGATGAGCTACCTCCCCCAATTCAAGATATATTCCGATATATGACCGATAATTCAAACCATACATGGACCTTACTGACTACCATAACCATTACCATTAAAGTTCTCAAACCAAGAGACCCTCAATCTCAAATATGGTAAAACGCTGTACAGACTGGAGAGTTATAACATGTTATAACGCTTGTCAAATAATTGCAACACAGAAACCACCATCAAGATAGCGCTATAACATGTTATAACTCTGTAGTCTGAACGTACTATAAGCTGAGACCGGAAACTAAACTCACCGGTTTGTTGTTGTTAAATTTGTTTTTTCCCTTCAGTTGTTTTTCGTCGATCTGGTTTTCCGCACTGTTTACCAATGCTACCGACGCCGGGAGGCAGCTCTCACCTCACATTTTTACGCATTATGGGGCAAACCGTTGAAATGGTGGATATTCCATTCCCATTTTCAGTAGGGGTACCTGGGGTAACATGCACCGTTGGGGCAACATGCACTTCCTATTTTTAAAGTCTAAAATACATTTTTACAACAAGAAGTTACAAGTTAAAAGTTAAATCTATGTTTGCTTTGGACCCTGTATCAATTGGGCACCTCTGTGTTTTTTTCCTCTGTTCGGGACCTAACACCACTGCGACCAGTAATTTGATCTATTGTAGTATATCCCGTGTCCTTAGTTTAGTGCATATCGTATTACTCCATCACTATTGAGAAATGATGAAGAATACGATTTTTTTTACAGTAGTCAATTTTTCATTTATCGCAATGATCCGACTCTAATTGAAAGGTCCCGCTATTTATACCATTCGGAGTGTTGAAACACCCCCATTAGACTGATGCAAAATTTCACTTTTTCGCTCCACAGTGCTTAAATGGTTTCAAATCGGGTCCTGATTTGCCTCCCAAAGTTACAACTCATTTGGTTAGAAACAGACTTCGCACAAGTCATTTGAAGTTTACATGTAAATTACTATGGGAAATCTCAACTTTCTGTTGATTGCCTTCTAGTCTTTTTCCATATTGAGCTACGAAACAGTTCGATAGCCATTCTTATGAACAATTTTCTCAGCTACAACTTTGCTGGAGATCGTTTCTATGTAAAACGAGACAGGAAAAAGTTATTAATTATTTAAGAGGTTGGTAAACTTATGACATGATCAAGCAGCTGCTCTGTAGGCAACACTGTATTTTGCAGTGTGACATAGTAGCCATGATTTTTGTGTCCTATTCAACGCCCCAGAAACACCAATGTTGCCTGCTGAGCAGTTGATTGAGCATGATCATAAGACATCAGCGCATTGAACCATTGATAACTTTCGATCCTTGTATTTAACCAAAATGTGGTCTTCAGCAAAGTTGTAGCTGGGAAAATTTCCTACAAGCACAGTTGAAAATTTTTGAAGCAGACTTATATGGTGAATTATTAGGTAGACATGAACAAAAATCTTGGTTTTACCATAGTAATTCCCATACAAATTTCAAATGGTTTGTGCCATCTCAGTTTCTCACCA